CACCACAAAGAAAAAAAAAAAAAGAAAGAAAGAAAAATATCTGGCACTTTATATGGGTTTCAGGCAGGAGACAGTAACCCCAGAGTAATCCGATGGGGATACTTTATAAATTTATATGAAGAAGATAGAACTATAAATGACTAGTAACAGGATTAGCTACTAAGGGAAAAGAACACAGGAATCACAGATATGGGGAATAATCATAACTAAAGCTGCCAAGGAAGGAATAGCTTTGGAAGAGCCTTTTCTTCCCAGCTCCCACCTCCCAAAGCTGAGATTTGCAACTTATCAGGGAGAGTGTGACTGTGGCCCCTCAGCTCACAGAGGTGCTGCAGAATGGGGCTGGCAGGCAGGAAGCCGCTATGGAACATCAGGTAGCTTCCCTCAGAGGTGCTGCCTACTCACTGGGAATCCACCAGCTGGAATGCCATGAACACACAGGAAATCCAGCTGGGATACCATTAAAATCTCTAGGAAGCCACCAGCAGGAGTACTATGGAATTATCTGGGAAGCTAGCGGGGGAAATTCCCTGAATTGGAAACCATGTTTGGCAGTGCTTGCTGGAGGTAAAGGCCATTGGGACCTCACAGGCCAAGCACTGCAGGAGCAAGATAACAGGGTTGCATACTGAACTAGGAAGGAAAGCCCTTTCTTCCTGCAGCGTCCTTCAATGACATACCTCAAACATCAGCCTGATGGTAATACAGAAGTGTCCACAGGGTTCTGCTCCAGTATCATAAGCAGGGCAATGAAGACTGGATTCAGGAGTGAAAAGGAAAGAGGAAAAAACTAGCATACTCTTAGAAAGCACTATAAGAGCTTTTGGTAAATATGATAAGTAGCTACACAGTATACAGAAGACTTTTAAGTCTCACTGTGTTCATCCCCAGGTTTGGGTGGAGTGTAGCAAGTTCCTACAAGGGCAGGCCTAGCATGGTGCTTAGGGGCCTGAAAACTCCTAGCTTTGCCTTGTGCTAGTAGCTAGGCACCTTACCTACCACCTCTGTGCTTCAGTTTCCCCTTCTGCAAAGTGGAATCTTAATGATACACCTACATTATAGGGTTAGTGTATTAAATGTTAACATACAAAAATGCTTAAAAGAGTACATCCTACCTTTTATTAGATAGCTCCTTGGTCAGAAAAGCAAGGAAAATATTTCTAATATTTATCAAAACCAGAAATATAATGAGCTCAAAGAATAGATTTTTTTTTCACAGGCATGCCTGAGTTGTACTTCATTTATTATCATCCTCCCTCTTGATTCCCAAGGTACCCCTCCTGCCTGTGATTACCAGTTCCAATGTTCTCTCACTCATCACAATTCCTATTTAGAGGAGGGAATTATTTGTTCCGGTTTGGTCACCCAACTAGAGCAGTGGTTCTCAACTTGAGGCAATTGTTCTCCCCTCTAGGAGCCATTTAGAAAATCTGGAGATATTTTTGATTGTGGAGTAAAGAGGGGTAAAGAGGCATTGACCAGGGATGATACTAAACACTCTACAGTACCAAGTATGATCCCATTGATTAAAAATTATCTGATTCAAAATGTCAACAGTGCCACTATGGAGAAACCATAATCTAGAAGTGCTATAGTCTGAATGCGTCCCCCCAAAAGTTTATGTTAGTAACTTAATCTCCAGTATAACAGCATTGGGAAGCAAGGCCTAATGGGAAAGATTTAGGTTGTGAGGCTCTCCACTCACAAATGAATTATGTCGTCTATAAAAGGGCTTGAGGCTCCGAGTTCAATCTTGCTCTTAGTACTCTCTTGCCTTTCAGCCTTCCCCCATGGGATGATGCAACAAGGTTTTTGCTAGATGTGGGCCCACCAATCTTAGACTTCCCAAGCCTCCAGAACTGTAAAAAATAAATCTGTTCTTTATAAATTACCTACTCTCAGTTGCCCTGTTTTAGCAAAATATCCCAAGATAAGAGGGTATAAGGGATTTGGAGAAAGGGAACAGAGACAGAGTAGACATGTAAGTGGTGCCTTGATTCCTCTGTCTTCACGGAGATCTTGACCAGTGTGGCCCAAGTTACCAGCTCCAGACTGTCTAACCCACCTGGCATCCTGTACAATTTCTGATGTCCTTAAACTACTTTTGCCATCTATTTACACTCAAACTAAGTTCCCAGGTCTTCTGAATGAAGATAATTAGAGAATGAACTCTTGAAAAAGTTGCTATTAAAGCAGAAATGTCCAAATTTTTAAGAAATCTGGACAGAAGGAAACAGTTGTCTTTTTCCCAACTTTAGCAGATGTTCTACCTTTCTATTTCTATGACATGCTTTTTATTTTTAAAAGCCTATTTCTCTTCTAAACCTCAGGCCCCTAGATTCATACCTGGAGCTCAGCAGAATTTTACTAAAGTAACATGGGCTTTGGAGTGAAAGAAGAAAAGAAAAAGTTTGAGAAGCAACATTCTAAAATGCAAAGCTGTTAAATAAACAAGTAGGGCAGAATACTGACAGATACTGTAAAATTCTATTTGTCATAGCCACAGCCTACTTCAAAAACCATCTAGCTAGCAACTATAAAATGTGCATGGGCTGTCTGAGGCAATACACATGCTAACAAAGAAAAGTTAGCTTTTCTGTAATAATGTAAACCATGTGTATCTCATGAGGTTGACAAGACTGTGAGTGAAAATGGCCTCTTTGTGACTGCACCACCAACAAACTTCAGTGAATGTACAATTCTAGAAACAGCTGGAAACCAACTTTTTTGTTGTTGTTGTTAGCTATTCATGATGTTTCTTTTCTTGGCTGTACTACTAGCTTGAAATCCTGCATAATAACTGCAGCTCTCAACAAAGAACCACTCATCCACTATTCACTGACTGGGGAATCAGTAACTTGTTGATAGTTTTAGGGAGAGTTTTCAATATGGGAAAATGACAGTATGTTCCATAATTTAAAAGTTCCTTGTTAACTTTTGAATACATATATGTAAATCATTGGAAAATACTTTCCATTTGAAATAGTAGAAACTCTTTCCCTTCATTCCATCAAATTGATACTTTCCACTTAGGATCTAGCCAACATCAGATCAAATGTATATTAAAGCTACTCAAAGTGAGTGAAGGTATATGTCAATCCTTTATAAGGCAACCTCATATTCATTTAAATGCTAGTAGTATTCCCTTTACAGAAAAAAAATCACTACTGCAGGCCTTTGTACACATTCAAAATGCTTTATAAATCCAAAGTTTCCTATGAACAACTTCTCAGGAGAAGCTAAATATGCTTGTAACTTCATTCCTTCTTTAAAAATAAAGGTATAATTGGATAATAATTGTACCACACTCAACCACAGACAGAAGTGGGTTGACAATGTTTTCAATGTTAGCACTTGCCAAGGAGGCAGGGAGATTTGACCTGTGAATGGAAAAAAATTGCATCAGCAGAAGTGATGCACTGAAGCAGAAGGGAAGGCCAGGCTGGTGCTTTCCTCTCAAGTCAGGAAGTAGCAACTCTGGGATCTGGTAACGTATGTCTCTGAATTATTTTAAATAACCTGACAAGTCATGTAACTCTGCTGGTCATTCCTAACAGTTATTATGGTCATTAGCATGATCTTTATTCTCCTGACAGTAGAAAATGCAAAGTCAAAAATCAGTTTCTGCACCCCCTGAAGATTGCTACTAGATAAATGTTTTAGAATAATTTTGATGCCGAGTGTTGCCCTTAAACTGCCCAGAAATTTATGGAAAATCTACTGTGCACCAGGCACTGTAGGTACAGAAGCAACAGTCTGTCTAGCAGGGAATGAAAATGTGATCCACTGCTTTAATGTTTTCCTGCTCAAAAACTTTAAATATTAAGTAAATTCATAGGTTTTTTTTACAATTACTTCCTCCCTTGAGCTTTTCCTTTAGTCAGACTGATGCTGTGTCATTCTGCAGAAATCAGATTATGGGGCTAAAATAGGTAATCATTATCAGATAGCCTTAACTTTTCTGAACTCCACAGATTTAATCTTTAAGAATTGGGGAAGACTTTTTTTCTTTATGTTGTTGTTTTGAAACCAAAAAATCAATAAATAAAATATATGAAAGTATTTTGTAAATTGTAATATAGGGCAATTTAAACAAAAGAAATCCTTCAGTAGGTCCCCATTGCCAGCCTTAGGCTCTCAATGACACTACTAACCTGTTTTTACCAGGTAAAACCAGTTTTCAACAAGACTACCTGGAAGGGTATAATCAAATTTTTTTTATATGAGTTCACTTATATATCCTACTTACCATTGAGAATTTCTATGTGTCTCCTGATCCAACTGCCTGAACCTACTTCTCAAATCACTATTTATAAAGCTTTTCTTTTTTCTTCTTTCTGTCCAGAAAAAAACAATATCTTATGATGATTTATCCATTTATTTTTAGGGTCTGCTAAGGTAATGAGGATTTTAGAGTAAAAGTAAAACAAACAAAAACATTTTTTTACATAAAATTAAGCTAATCCCAGGGGACCATACCCAAATAATTTCAAGTTACTTGACCATTTAGAATTTGACTTTGACTCCTGATACGTATGTCTCTTCCTTACCTGAACTGCACCAGCTTCCAATAATTATTCCAAATACATTCTTACAAAGGCTAAGTGCACCAGGTAGATTTCCCCTGAAATGGAGACTATTGACTGACTCACCCAAGATTAATCTTTAAAATGCTTCCTCTTCCTTTCCAGTAAATGTTTATTATGTATAAAATACACTACACACATACACACACACACACACACACATATGCACATATATGTATAAAATAATTTTCTTATATGAATCATCAACTTGAAATCAAGAAATACTAATAATTTATAGATTGGTAGTTTCAAAAATTCACTATGGGTCTTTAATTTTCAGAACACCTGGATTCTGTATAATAGCATTTTTAAGGCACCTAAATATTTTATATATTCCACAGAAGAATATGATGTATCTTCAATTACTTTTCTATCCAAATAAACCACGTATTTAAAAAAGTACTAGTAGATGGATAGTTATCCAAAATTGTTTTAATTATTTCACTCATTATCTGGACAAGAAAGCAATTTTGTAGGCAGAAATAGAAAACCTATTCTAACTAACAAACTTCAAATTGCTAAAAAGATTCAAGACTTAAGAACAGTCACAGAAAAATGTTGCTTTTTATGGAAAAGTTTTTCTTTATTTTGTAAAAAATAATGTTTTGACTATGTTTACTTTACGTTTTTCAAGGCAATGCAAGAACAATGCTAAGCATCTAAGTAAAAAGTATCCTGCTTTATGAGCTTATTGAAAATGCTGAAGTCATACTGCTCACTGAAAGTAGAATATGTGTTTCAGTTACAAAACAGAACATGTAAAGTAAATGCACAAGTGAATAGTCATGAAAAATAGAGGATTAATCAAAATATTCTGTTTAAAAATATTAAATTCACGTTATGCATAAAAAAATCACTGTATATTCAGAATGACTATAATGGTCAGTTCTGATGAACGAATATTAACTTTAGTTAAAAAGTTAAATTTTTAATTTCTATTTTTCAAAGTAATTTCAAAACTGCACTATTCAAATTCAAAAATTTAACATTTCATTCCAAAGACATGTTGTATAGTTCTTATCACTGAAATCTTTCTATGGTGTCTATAAATAAATCTGCTAACGGAAAAGAATAACAAAAGCCAATTTAGGAAAGAAAATGGCTCAAGTGAGAGTCAGAGTATGATCTCGAATTATTGTCTTTTCCTCTCCCCATCATTTCATTTCGTATTGTGTTTTGAGCCTGAGAGCAACTGCAGGCAGCTCACCTTGTTCTACTCTTCCTCTCTGACCTCTACTGGCTTCAATATACTGCAGGCAAGTGCTGATCCCACCCTCTCCACTCACCAGACAGGACCTGGGCTGCAAGAAGGAGCATTACAAAAGTGCCTAGAGTCTACAATGTTTCAGCAACAAAAGAGACTTCTCTAATGATCACTGTGCTGTACTGTCACCTTAATACCAATTAACCATTTAAATAAAATTTTTTAAAAAACCAGAAAATCAAACTGCTCATAGACAATCCTTTAAAAGTTGGGAAGATGGATGAGAAGTAAATTTAAATAAAACCCCAACCATTCAAAGTCTCCCCTCCTCCATTCCTACTTCACACAATTCATTTTTCCCATAATAATCCTAAGCATAAACAGAAGCCTTCCCTTCTACTGCATCAAGAAACAGTGTCACTTATTGGTATCAAAGGTGTTGAAAGCTCTGAGACAAACAGGAGTACCAAATCTACCATTTTTATCCATCAGATTGGTCTTTCTCATTTTCAGTTCCCACATCCAAAGTGCTAGAAGCTTCTGGAGGAAGTGGTTTGGAGGGGCTGGCCTGCCTCGCTGCTGCTGTGGGGATGGGCAGAGAAGGCACTGCAGCACACAATGGAGTCCTCTTCAGCTTTATCACTCGGTGGGGTGTAGACTTCTTGTCAGAGAGCAGTACCTTTGCTGGAGGCGGGTGTGGGGCTCCATTTTCAGCACTTCTGGCCCCATGTGAAGCTTGAGAGTGACCAGATGCCCCAGTGCTCACAGGGTTCACAGAGCGCTGAGCTGCCTTTCCAAAGCTGCCACTCTGAGACTGGTTTGCTGGCATCTGAGAGGAGATCTGGATAGCGCTAGCTGGAGACACCCTGACTGAAGTGGAGTTTTTCACTTTAATTTGGGTGCTTGTGGAAGGGCCCAAAAATCTGACTGGCTTAGGACCAGCCTTACAATTCACACCTTCTTCTTCCTCTTCATTGAGTGTTATCAGTCGCCTAGAAATATAGAAGCATGTCTTTTTCAGTATTTACAGGTTAGTAACTAATCAAACCTTCTCCAAAGTGTACTTTTAGGGTTACTAAAAAGGTTTTCATCAAAGATTAAACCGTCAGGAGGTTCATAAGTATCAACCTATTTTAACTTTCAACTTCTACTGACATCAGTATGTAAGTTAACAGGTTTACAACTTGAATACAAATTATATCTTATCAAGTCACACATAAGATGGACAAGGTGGGACACATCTATAATCCTAGGAGCTCAGGAGGCTGAAGAAGGAGGATCACAAGTTCAAAGCCAGCCTCAGCAACTTAGCAAGTAAGCAATTTAGCAAGTCTCTAAGCAATTTAGCAAAACCCTGTCTCAAAAAATGTGTGTGTGTGTGTGTGTGTGTGTATAAAGGGCTGGGATGTGGCTCAGTGGTTGAGCACCCCTGGTTTCAAAAAAAAAAAAAAATCACATATAATATAAACTCCAAGAGGTAAATATGGAGTGTTTTATAAGAATTACACTACAAATCACTCTGTTCCCAAGAATCCTGATGTGGTAAGAAGATAATCAAGAATATCCAAAGTAGTTTTCCCCAGAAGTGTGAAGTTTACTGAAGTAAAAAAAAAAAAAAAAGGAGGGTTTCACAATTAAATAAATTTGAGAAATGCTATTGTATATTTTATTCTCCAACTGGACCTTTAAAATCCAAGTTGACAAATTAAAGGTTCTGAAAAGGTCTATAGTAACAACATCCATGTAACTGTGTTAGATCTGTATTTCACAATTATTCTGTAACAAAACCTAAGACAGCAGTAAAATGTGCATGTTGTGGGACACATTTGAGGGTGGGACCGCTAGAATGGTCAAAAACATGGTATGGTTAAATGTTTTTGAATTTGGAATGTTCTGGACAAACTTTCAAAGATTCCTGAACTAAGGTTACCATTCATCATAAATAGCCTAAAGGGAGAATATTTCTAAAAATGACCTAAAAAACATGAAGGACAACAGCAATCTTCCCAGTCCACTTCTTTTCACACAGCCTTAATGTGTTGTTAAAGGCAATTATAGGAGAGAACTCTCATTCTTGGAAATGGGATCAAACAATAGTATGATTATATGAAAATTTTTGTATGTAGTAAGAATGCCAATATAACATATTAAACCCTAAAACTTTACGGAACATAATTAGATTTTCTCTGGTGAGTCACATTGCTCCTTGGGACCTCATAGCGCTTCTCAGTCATCATTATCTTGTTAATGCATCAAAAATGATGCTTCATGACATCTCAGAGAAAGGGCCACTAACACAGAGGAAAGTCTCCATAAACCAGTCCTGTCTGCTTGTTTTCTGCCTACATCTTCCACTAGACTCTACACCAAGGTATCTTAACCTTTTGTGCTATTATCACTTTGGTCATATAATTCTTTGATCAGGTGGATCTTCCCTGAGGATTGTAGGATGTTCATCAGTATTCCTGACCTTACCTACAAGATGCCAATAGCACTGCACACTGGAAATGTGACAGCTTAACAGTGCCAAATATCCCCTGGGGGACAAAATTGCCCCTTGTTGAGAACCACTGTGCTAGACCCAAATAATATTTTCTAACTATTGATTCAAAAGGCAAAATAAGGAATGATAATACAATTAAAATCTTTAAAAATAAAGATGAGATCTGTTTTGATAAGAGATAAAGATTAACTACTAAAAACTGCAACTTCTCTTCATTACTGAAAAAGATCCAGAGAACAAAAGTAAGAAAGTAGTCTGAAATTCCATGTGGTTAGAAAGCAAACTCCAGATCAGGTGATAGTGATGCCACAGTATCTGAAGGCCCTGCATAAAATCCAGACACTAAAATTGAAGTATGATTTTAAATGTATTTAAAACAGAAAGATGCAGATGTGAAGTGAATTTAATGCTAATAATGTCATGGAACACAAGAAAATACCATTAAATAAAAATGCTATTTGTGGCAATAGGAAAGAAAAAGAAATTCAGAATAAGGCATAGGAAATTTCAAGTATTAAGTCTAAATAGATTTTTTTGACAATTGCCAATAAAGCATAGGATTTGTCTTCTGTGGGAGAAAAAACACCTACCACAGCACTGCTACTGTATCCACTTAAAACCACATTCTCCAAAGAGAATATACTATACATTCAGTTTTAGAAAATTAAATATTCCCAGTTTTTACATAGTTTTTGTAATTCTACACTTCTCAAGATCTATATTATGATAAGACAAAAGAATATTCACCGAGGTGACTAATAAGTTCATGGTCAAGAACTATTATTCATTTCCCCCTTCATATGGGAAATAAAAGTAACAGACACATATTTTTCAAAAATAACAAATAACCTCTTTCGAATTGGAGTCATATGCCGCAGACTTCCAAGTAAAGGCCGCTCCTCCAGTGTCCAGCATTCTATGAGTTCATGAGGCACCCGCCAGTAGCTAACACCTTGAAGATAAAAAGACCTAATTAGGAGACCCACTGTCCACACCGTTGAGAAACACTGTTTCACAGTAAGATTCACCAGGAAGAGTGTGAGATTCATGCCTCCCCACTTGATGAAGGGAGGCATGTACAACATCAACAGGAAATGCTCACTCAAAGCACGAGGACAGCAGAGTGGTACAGTGCATGGCCTGGATCTAGAAGAGCTGCTACTAACCTGGACTTTGCCACTTAGATTACTGAGGCAACTCAGGCTACCATGCATGCTCAAAGGGCTGAGCGCATGCTGGTTACAGGCACACACTCTGGCCAAGACAGCCTGAGTCTGTATCCCACTCAGTCACTCACCAGTGTTGCCTTAGGAAAGTTACTTTTCTGGGCCTAAACTTTGATTTTTCTCTATAAAAAGAGAACAATAATAATAGTCTGCACCTCACAGGATTGTTGTGATAATTAAGTGAGTGAATAAATGTGAACAGTTTAAACACTCAAAATTGTTGGTGCCTTTACTATCAGTGTCATGTTGGTAAGATTATAATACTGGACAGTGATTATACCACTTGCTCTGTTTGCATCACTATGCTGCTCTGACCATCAAATCAGGTAAACTTAGAGAACCACTCCTTAAATAGCAGATACTATGTAAATAGGAAACATCACCACCCTATTAAAGCCAGAATAATCTGAGTTAACATGTTAAGCCAAGAAAACAGCCAAATTAACTTTAATTTTTAAATATGACACACTTTTGATTGAAACTTAAAACTACATTCTTATGAACCTCAAAAACATTATGGTAATAAAAGATGCCAGATATAAAAGATCACATCTTGTACAATTCCATTTACATGGAGTATGCAGATAGGCTAAACTCATTGAGACAGACAATCGACTAGTGGCTACAAGGGCTACAGGGGAAAACTGAATGGGGGGGAGTAATTGCTTAATGGGTACTGGGGCTCTAGACAGGTAATGGTTTCCCAACATTGTGAATGTAGTAAATGGCATGATATGTATAGTTTAAACTAGTTAATTCTACATTATATGAATGTTACATCAATTTAAAAAAACAAAAAATTATATACAGACAAATGAAAAGAATTATGTTGAACAAAAATTGCTTGGCATTAAAAAAATAACTCTATAAGTCCCAATAATATTCTTTGTGTCTTCTTTTCATCATTAAAGTTCTAGTAACAATAACCAACTTAACAAATATAGCCTATAAAATATTACATAGACATGTTCAAGACTCAAAGAACCCTATTAACCTCATTTTAAGTACAACTTTCTGGAACTGTTTTATCACATTCCAAAAACCTACATGTTACAAACTCATTACTAAAGGTCCATTAAGTTTGCCTTATTTTTTAAGTCAGGTCTAAGATAATTTACATAAAATAAGATTTACCCTTTTTAGGTACATACTTTAATGAGTTTTGACAAATGTGTACAGCTATGTACTCAAGGTCACAATCAGGATATAGAACATTTCTATCAGCCCAAAATGTTCTGAATTAACAACATCCTCCCCTCCTTCTCTAGTTTCACCTTTTTTCAGAATGACATAAAAATGGGATCATATAATATGTAGCCTTTTGTGTTTAGCTTCTTTGGTATGCTGCTTTAAAATTCATCCATGTTGATGTATTATTGTTTTTTGCTAAGTAGTATTTCATTGTATAGATCTATGGAGTGCAATTTGTTTAACTTTCATTTTTCACCTGTCTATAAAATAATTTACACTCATTATATAAAACCTGCAAAATATAGAAAAGAAACTCAAAATCAGTCCTAATCCAAAAAGTAGAAATCATAGCTGAGGACATATTGATATATTTCATTCCAATCTTTTCTAGTCATATGATATATTCATAGCTGAAAGTACTTTATGTTTCATTTTGTTTCCTGCTTTTGATCATTTCCTGCATTTTATGATTTAAGGACATAGAAAACAGGCCCTAAGGAACTTCCCTTACTGTTCCCCTACCGCCCTGCCCTAAATGATCCCACCACCAAAACTCCTCCCTTGACCTGGACCTGCCAGCCAAAAGGGCCCTCCAAAAGTAGCTAACTCCTCCCATGAGCTGGCTCTCCTAAGGCCCTATAAACCCCAGACCCTCATGGTGGCCTGCTGCCATTCCTCCTACTCTCCCACCAAGATGTGCCCCGTGGTGCTGAATATAGCATCGCTCTCCATGAGATCTCCCTCCATTTCCTTTTTCTTTTTGTATTCTCTTTCATGAGCTTTCAATGATGAGTGCTAATTTATGTCAAAAGTTGTTCAAACTAAATTTAATAGCTTGATTATATTCCAAACAACTTTGGGTTATATATACAAACTCCTAAACATGAGTATATATATAATATATAAATAATTTATTCCCAAATAATTTTAATACCTTATTCCATTCTGCAGATACACCCAAAATGTGTGTAGACAAATTTATCAATTTGGTCTTTATGATTTATTTTGTGCTTATAATTTCTCTACTTAAAAAGCCAACTATTTAAATTTCTTTTAATTTAAAGTAAGTTTTTTTTTCATTCATAAATCCACTTGGAATTATTTTGATAAATGATGTGAGGTTAAAGTTTTATTTTTCCTCTCAAGCATATTTCTCAATTATTTATTAAATAACCTATATTTTTTCCCATTGGTATTACAGACAGTATTTTTATTAAAATTTTACCAGTGTTTACTCTTGATCTGTACTCTATTCACACACAAGAAACACATTTTTTTTTTATTATCAGAGAGTTATTGTAGCATGTTTTACTATCAGCATGTTTTACTATCAGGCCCCTAATTCTACTTCCCAAAATTTTCTTGGCTACTTTACCTATTTATTCTTTCAGAGGAATTTTAGAATCATTCTCTCAAGATTTCCAAAGAGTTCCATTGATATTTTGGCATAAATCATGTTAAAACTCTAATATGAGAAAAACTGATATCTTTATAATATTCAGATTTTCCATTCAGAATCATGGTAAGTCTTACCATTCTCTCTCTTTTTTTTTAATAGATGGATGAATGAATGGATTGATGGAACAGGTAGATAAATACATTTCATCAGTTTTCTTCATAAAAAGACTCAAGCATATCTTAGATAGTCTCAAGGGAGAGTCAAGTTATTTTATGTTTTGCTTATTACTATTGTGAATGAAATTTCCCCACAATCATTTCTAATTGATTACAGGTAAGCTGTCAATCACTGTAAATCTATGTTGTATCCAGCTATCTTAGTCTACTTAAATACTTTTAACTGATTCTTCCAAGTTTTCTAAAAATATATATTGTCCACAGATAGCAATGATTTTGTCTTTTCTGTTCTACAGTTTTTTCTCTCTTACTTCTGTCACCTGGCACAGGAATGAAGCAAAGGTTAAGAGTAAACACCAATGATAAAAATATTTCTCCAGGCCTTCCAGAACTTTGTTAAATAACAATGATGTTCTATGACATGCTGTTTTTAAAAAATAAAATCATTCACATGTTTTGTAAAAGTTAGTGATTCCAGTTTTCCACTTCAGCTTCCTAAAGTCAGTGGAGAAAGAAGCCAGGCCAGGGCCCTCCAGAAGTCTCCTGGGCATCCTGCCAGGCCAGAGGCACAAAAGAAGACAGAGAGAACAACAGGGGGTTTGTTCCTCAACTTGAGCATAAGTGTCTCAAAGTAAATTAAATCTCAAATAATAAGCTTAAAGAGAATAGCTCTTTTTTCATTATTATATATCACCCTGCATGCTTGAGGGGTAAGATGGGAAAGGAAAAGGAGGAAGGTAAGGGGGCTAAAGTTGAAGAAAGGAAGAAAGGCTGGTGCCAGCACTGGCCAAATGGTGGACTGGCAGATATAGAGTTTTTAATAAAAGTCTCTTCTACCCTATATACATGTTTGATTACACTATTGGAGTGACTCTGCACCATGTACAGAAAGAGGAATGAGAAGTTGTGCTCCACTTGTGTACAATATGTCAAAATGTATTCTACCGTTAAATTAACTAATTAATAAATTAATCAATTAAAAGCCTCTTCCTTGTGGGCTAGGGATATAGCTCAATGGTAGAGCACTTACCTAGCATGACAAGACCCTAGATTTAATTCCCAGTACTGCAAATACATAAATAAATAGCCTCTGCCTTTCATTCATTCTTATGTGATTGGCAATCTGGCTCTACCAGTTTTCAAAGTCATTTGAGGATTGTGATGTGTCTTATTCATCAATGGAACCAATTTTAGCACTTAGAGTGCTTTGTACCTAATGAACATTCGATATATACTTATTATTTAAGAAAAAATACTTAAGCATAGAACAGTTAACTCTCTGTAATTCCTAAGCTAGTGGCATGGTCTTTCTGAGACTGTTTCCTCATCTATATACAACCGGAAATAGTAAGCAGTATATAGGTTGCTTTAGTACTAAGAGCTATACATGCAAACTAATTAAAACAGTGTATTGTCAGCTCTCTCCAGGTAGCTTGACTTAAAATTTCCAGTTTTCAAAGTGTGTATTTAAAAATTATCTTGTTTTCTAAGAGCACTTTAGACACCTCCTTCATGATTTTCATTTTTTCTCTATTTTCTTACTCATTTTATATTTAATTTAGAGGTTTACTTCTTAGGACAATGCTAGGTACACAGTAGGTCTAAATAAGCTCTTACTTAATTGAACTAATTAAGCACAACTAATAAAAACATATTTGAGGCTAGTAAATTATAAATTATTAATAGTATCTCGCAATTCATGGAGTTTAAAGATTTATAAGGAAACTATCTCTATGTCACCACAAGATGACAAATAGCTTGACACACTCAAAAATATATTTTCTCAAAAAAGAAATGCAACATTTATGTTTACTTTGTCTTATTAAGGAAAAGTATGTGAAAAGAATTGCACTGTACCTTTTCCTTCCCAAGCATCGAAGGCATCCATCATTTTCTTCAACTCAGCTACTGAATAATAACTCCAAATGTACTGAACATTATTTCCCGCCTCTCTAGAAATATTACAAAAAATAATGGAAATACCAACATATGAATCTGTATACATATATGCGGCTAATGGAGACTCAGTAAGTGCTTGGTGACTAAGGAAAAAATAACAGACATTTAGTGGTTGTTCTGTAACCCTTACACCTACACATAAACTATAAATTAATATAAACACATATGTGTATGCAAGTATATACACACACACAACAGCACATACATTTGATCTTTTTTTTAACCACAGTAAAGTATCTGTTAATTTCATAATATAAACCATATTGATAAGTCAGTACATTTTAAAATCAATTTTTTTTAAAAAAATCAGCCAACTCTAGTAACTTTCCTATCATCATGCCATGCACTTGTATATACCTCATATAGAAGCATCCTTGCCCATAAAGAATTCAGAAACTGATGACCTCTATAATCATCTGAAAGAAAACCAAGCCTATATATATGGTCAAGCATTAGTCACTAATATGTGACCCAATCCAATCTCCCAGAGAATTTAAATAAATAAATAAAAGTTTGCTAGCTGAATTGACCAGTATCATAAAATTACACGAACTACATTAAAGGGACAACTTTAATGTATTTAAGTCATAGAATTCAAAAGCTGGAAGAGACCAAGGAAGGCCTTCATTTTTCAGAAGACATGAGGCACAGGCAGCCCTGGGCCACTCACTGGGTCTGCTGACTTCTAGTCAGTGCTTCTTCCTAGTGTTCAGGAAAGACACTGGGCATGTGGCTTTGCTTTTTTTTTTTTTAAGCCTCTCAAAGGATTCTAATGCTTACTCCTTGTTGAGAACCACTGTCCTGACCATACAGATGGCCTGTAATTTGTATACATGTAAAATGGTGTTAGTCATACTCTCTTCCTGATGTAAACCTATCTCCACAGCTATGGGGCTCACCACATTCACCGAGATGTGCTTATGGTCTTTTCTAGTCAAGCACAATATTTCACCTCTTAGAAAGCATCAACACTCTATTTTGTTCCTTTTACTTTTAAATTTGGACATACCTTTTAAAAATGCTTTTGCTATGAATTCTTCCTCCAAGCTGCTTATCAATAGCATCAGTTCCATCAGTTTTTGTGGCATATACACCAATAATTCTGCTCTCACAGCTTGCACCAGATGTGTTAAGATAGTGGAGAACCCAAACTGTTGGCTTATTGCAAACTAAGCCATATGAATCACAGAAGTCTGTTAAAGCCTAAAGCAAAATATATATATATATAAAACTTGAATTTAATAGAGTAAAGTGAAAAATGAATTTGCTCTATTATTTTCATGCAAAGCTACAATCTAAACTGATCAGAAGAGAAATAAACAAGATTATAAATTTCAGCCTAGTCTTTAAACATGTATGTAATGAAATTATGGGTGGAAGGGTCACAAAAAATACCACCCAAAAACCCAATGCACTTTTTTCATTTAGACAATCCTTTTCCATATGGAAATTCTATTTTATCTCCTCTTCCAGCCGACCAATTTTATAATCTTTTAATTTTATAGTCTTCCTAAAATAAGTAAAAGTTAGATCTCTTCTTTTTCCTTTAGAATATTTTCACAAATATTCCCCATTTGATTCAATCTTCCGTTCACCTTCCACTGACTAGCCCATGGTTGGTCCTTATTTTTAATTCCAAATTCCAATCATGGACTAACCAGATTAACTTGTTCTTTTACACTGAAAGATAGATATATGTGAACTCAAAAAATACTGTTTGAACTCATTTGGCATTTATCTAACCATTCATTTGCTTGAATATTAAATACCTACTATGTGTTGAGCATTAAAGTCCTGGAGTTATTATGGTGAAGAGACCTACCCTCCAAGAGTTTACAGCTAATGCAAAAGACAGACATTAACTAAGTCATCAGCATACCATGTAACAAGTACCACCTGATGAGAATAAAGGCGCTGCAAGGAAGGGAGCATGGGGTTTCACCCAGTGGAGTAGCAAAGGGCCTTCCCTGGGAGAAATGATATTACTAATCTACACACCTTAAGGAGAGGCACCTTTGTTGTTTTGTTCACTAATATATCCTCAAGTGTCTGGAATAGTGGCTGACACAAAGGACATGCCCAATATTAATACTAAGTAGTGAAACTAAGGACCTCTTGTGTCTTGCCCTTTCATTTAATATTGCTCCTGTATTGGTCTTAAACTGTCCTTGCATATCAATAAGAATTTCTAACTACACTATAAATTGTTCAAAGGCAAAAACTGTACATTGTATTTCTGAGTATCCAACACAGTCCCTGTACAGTGCCATATATGTCACAAACTGTTAAAACATATGTGTGTTAACTGATTAAATAAATGTGGATATGCTTTGCCTTCATTAAATACAAACTAGGAATAAAAAAACAATAGAGTTGAAATTCAAAAGATGAACATTAACTTTCACCAACCCTCCAGCCAGGCTTTTTTTAGCCCCATTCTGTAAATACGTCAAACAGCACTAAAAGACTATTATTTGGCAGTTAAATTTATAAATAACTTCAGTAGCAAAACACATACATCTATGCAAATTCCTGAAGGGAATCTGGAACCAAATCAACTTTCTCTCTGAGCTGCACTCGTAATGATCAACCATCCATCAGCTTACTTCCTAGACACTGACATCCAAATCAAAGAAACAAACCAGTTGAGATCACTTTTCACTATTAACCATTACCCAGGGAAAACAGTTTTCTTAGGTACTAATTAATATCAAATATAATACTTGTCATAAGACAGAGATAATGAAACTTATCAACTCATGTAAAGATCTTAAGATGCAACTCCACGTGGTGTACAACCTGAGAAATGAAAAGTTGTGCTCCATTTGTGTATAATGAAATGAAATGCATTCTGCTATCATGTATAAGTAATTTTAAAAATTTTTAAAAAATGTTAAAAAAAAAAAAAGATGTGGCTGGGTGCAGTGATGCATGTCTGTAATCTCAACAGCTCTGGAGGCTGAGACAGGAGGATCATCAGTTCAATGCCAGTCTCAGCAACTGCAAGGCACTAAGCAACTCAGTGAGACTCTACCTCTAATAAAATACAAAACTGGGCTGGGGATGTGGCTCAGTGGTTGAGTGCCTCTGAGTTCAACCCCTGGTATCCAAAAACAAAAAACAAACAAACAAAAAAAAGATGTGATTTAAAACAGAAACATCTTTAAAAAGATTTACTGATCTCAATTTGAATTAAATTAATGTTTTAACTCACTGAAAACACTAAATCAGGTAAAAAAATTATTATTTAGTATGACTACTCTTTTAAAATAACCATTTTAGTAAACTAAATAATACTAGTATGCTCTAAGAAGTATCATAATATTTCTCTTAATTTAAAAGAGCTTTAGTAGCAGAATGGTTCTATTAAAAAAGTCATCAAAAAGAGAAATATAAATTCAATTAATCCTTGAGTGGCAAAGTAATACACTTTCCTAGAACTGAACTGTGGCCTTAAAAACTGAGTAGGAGTAATTAAGAATCGTGTCTTCAAAAAGCATAAGAACTATCTCATGTTTCATTATGTGACAACACAGGTGATATAAGATAATCCATATTGCTTTGTGCATAATAAATAAATTACATATTTTAAAACTTAAGAAAATGCCAAGACCTTTTTAAGTTCTATATTTGACCTTAAAGAATATGTCTCCATTTCATTGGCCAAGTGGTCAGACAGGCTGTATGGGTAAGGTATGCCAAAGTAATCAGCCTCTTCCTGTAGGGCAACACGAGTGTGCTCATCTGTGGGAATCTGAACTTCTCCATGAAGATAATCCAAAAGGTATTTAAATAGATGTCCATCACGATCAATAACACAAGCCCCTAGAAAACATTCAGTTCAAAAATGGTTGCATAGATTCATATGATGACCAATAAAACTTCAACAAGTCCGATGACCTCTACAATTGTAAATATTTCTTTCTCACAAAAAAAGTTAACATTTATTATTGAGATAGGTTTAGCTAATCAAACTAAGTTAGACTTTTGATGTTTCACCTGGAACAGTAAATATGATATACTAGCTACCCTCAGCTTACAAATAGATGATAGTACATAATTGAATTTGAGTGGTTGTTTGGGGAAATCATCTGCATCTCTAAAACACTGCACATAAATCTGAAAGCAAGTATCTATCTCCAGGGTTGTCATGTTTGGTTGTGTGGGTGAACTGTGTACCTGTAGGCCAGACCAAGGGGACGAGCAAGGCTAAAATCAAGCTCACACTTTGCTCTTCCAGCCAAGTGCACTCTGCCATGGAGTTGTACCCTCTTGGATAAAAGGCCACACTTTTCTAATACGCACAAAAAGATTATGTGGGCCGGGCACATGCCTGTAATCCCAGCAGCTCAGGAGGCTGAGACAGGAGAATCAAGAATTCAAAGCCATCCTCGCAGAAGCGAGGCATTGAGCAACTCAATAAGACCCTGTCTCTAAATAAAATACAAAATAGGGTTAGGGATGTGGCTCAGTAGTTGAATGCCCCTGAGTTCAATCCCTGGTACCTCAAAAATTAATTAAATAAATAAATAATAAATTTTTAAAAAATTAAATTAAATTTAAAAAAAGATTATGTGGGTTAGTGGTATACTTTGTATTCTTACCCACCATAGAGAAAAATATATTCCTAGACTTGGAATTTTGATGCAATAACCACATTCCTACTATGGTCACTGCAAAAACCAAGGGGACTTCAGACTGATAGTAGAAAGGAAGCTTACCCCTAACTTCAACATCTTTAAAAAGATTTGTAGGCTATGAGGGCAGCTACTTTCCACAGAGAAACACATTTTCTAACTTGAAGAACACATAGAGAAGCTAATATATTTAACCAGTCTCAATACCTTCACCCATAAGGTCCCAGGACAGGTGTATAGAGTTGGAGCTGCCCCATGCTAAAGAGGACACTTGGGTGCTTGCCACTATGTTCAGCGTTGAAATATCAGTGACACTATAAGCCTGAAGTTCCTAGCACCAAGTATGCCCTATGTTTTAGATTTTTAGGTTAGTCCCTTAAGAGTGTGAAAACCAACACTTTAAAAAAGAAGGAATGCCATGTTGGTACCACTTTATGGTAAGAATTTTCTTAGATAATTTAGTAAAATCAGAAAAAAAAAAAGAAAAAGCTTCTGCATCACATACTTCGTATTTTCTTTTCTCCCTTGATTCGTTGAGCAAAGGATTAAGGAGGTAAAAATTGGGGCAGAGAATAGAGCTCAATCCCTGGTTACCATAAACATTCTGCACCAGGGATATCAGGCTGTGGGTACCAGACACCAGTGATTTTCCATTCTTTCAACTGCATGTAGTTGACAAAGCAACTTCCCAAGACCTTGAGTTATTAATAAAAGAATGGTATTGTGTGCTCAGGACTTCTCAATCCCAGTTCTCTAATACAGAACTAGAGTGGGTTCTGGGACTCACAAATAGTGCAAAAGCCACTCTTGGGGTGATAAAGATAAACCAGTAGTAGGTTCAATGACCCTCACAGTACTTGAAGAAAAGAGAACAGACCCAGACCATATTATTATATTTTATAGTTTCTTCTAAAACATCAACTTTGGAGACCAAAGGTATCACTACACTGCCATTTCCTCAACTACGCATGTCAGACCACACCACACAATACAGCAAGGCCAAGTGGCAAGGGCAACTCTAATTTTTCAACATCTGCTTTGTAGGCTATGAGGGCAGCTACTTTTCAGAGCGAAACACATTTTCTAACTTGAAGAACACATAGAGAAGCTAATATATTTAACCAGTCTCAACACCTTCACCCATAAGGTCCCATGACAGTAATAACTTTCAAAATACTATTAATCCCCATAATAACGTCCTGGTTGGCCTTCATGCGTTCACTTCTTTGTTAACTTTTAGCAATAGCATCACAGATTTTAGAAACTCGTATTTAATTTCTATGTACTTAATGAATCTCCATACAGCCCTAATGATCTCAATAATTAGTAGACTAATACATTCCAATGTAATTAGGAAAATCAGAGGGAATTTAAAATAGATTCCCATTCTAATGAATATTCATGATCATGCTTCCAGACTTTAGAAATTTACCTGATTCATCTGTTTTTAGAGGAAAACGACCACTGAACATAGATGCCAGCATAGAATCCTTAAAACGGCACAAAGACTCTCGCCGGGCTGTGTAAATACAGCCACCCACATTCAGCCGAAGAATATCGAGCACCTCTTCTGTCTTGTGGCCTGCCATTGCTCCCTTGGACACCTAAAGGTTTGCCTCACACTTTCAAACTTCAAAATAATGGCAGTCCAGGACCTCCTCTGTAAAAACAAAGGACAATCATCACTGACATTTTCAACAATAAATTAATGATAAATTAAATATACTTGAATATGATTTTAAATCACTTCCTTAGAACTGGCAATGTTGAATTAAAATATTTTATAGAATACGAAAGAAGTTTGGGGCTGAGGTTGAGGTCCAGTGTAGAGTGCTTGCCTAGCACATGGAGGCACTGGGTTTGATTCTCAGCTCCATATTAAATAAATAAATAAATATTTTTTTTAAAAAAAAAGAAGTTTAAGATATGCTGAGAAGTCGGAAAACTGGCCTGAGAATTTGTAACAGATTATAAATTATCACCAACTAAATCACAGCTGCTGAGATGACTTTAGAGAACTAAACATATGTCCACATACAAAGCAAAGGTGAGGCACACTTATGTTATTTGGCATTGACATGTCTTTTTAACTGAAGAAGCTACCTGGACTGCAGAGGACATTTGTGTATAGCATGGAATTGAGCTGCTAGGCTTTTACCATTTAGTTCTGGGATCTTGGACAAATTATTTATCTTCCTTTTCTTGTTTCCTCGTCCATAAAATGGAGGCAGCAATGGTGCCTACATTAAAGATTAACAGAGGAATAAATAACAGAATATATAAAAAGTATTTGGAATAGTCTCTAGTTCAGAGTAAGTATGCAATAAATGACAAATATGCATAATGAAATAAATTTTACCATAAGGTATTTACTGACTTGATACTGACTTTGAAGATTAAAGGAAACAAAAAAGCAGAAGTTATTAACAAATAATTCTAATTCTTAAGTTATATCACTTATCAATTGAGATCAGAATTCTGTAGCCAGAGTAGTCTAGAACTATAATTGACACCTCTAAGTTATCCAGTTTCTTCACTCTAAAATGGCTAAAGCCATGTTAGATTGTTAACCATAGGTGTCTGTAGTGTTTTTACAGAACCTGAAATGACACTGTGCTAGGAAAGATGCTCTTAATAATGAGAATCTTCAGTACCTATATACTTCATAGCAAGTTTAAAATGGCTGCCAAAGGCGCAACTACATCAGGTCAATCCATTATTACTATGTGATCAACTCAAATCCTTTTGTAGATAATCCTATTTAGGCAGTTGCCAATAAAATGGAGAAGACCACATATGTGGATCATGGTCAATAGACAGAAACTATTATGGGATAAAGGATCAGTCTTACAAAACCATTATGGATGTGACTTCTTGCTGTCCAGAAGTCCTGGGAGCAGCACTCCAAAGATTCATGAGAAAATGGCTTCTGAGTCATGGGGTGGCACTGGTTCCCGCTACCCTTGTTACCAGCTCCCTGGAATCCTATCTATTCTTCATGGCATTGACAGATTTCTTGCATGAACTTCCCAAGTACCCACCCCAAGTTAGAATCCTTGCAGTTATTCAAATGTACTTTGTACTTCTGCCCACATTTCTATCCACTTATTTAACCGCTACTTTTTTCTTATTTGTAAGCTTGAGGAAAGCAAGGCTGGTGTCACCCTTAATAATTCCCATTTACTGAATGCATGTGCCAGCCACTACAATTCACAGAAAAGCCTTATAGGATAGGAATTACTGACCCTATTGACAGATGAGAATACTTGGATAAAAAAATAAGAGTGATGTGTGCAGGGTCCACATTGGGACCTACTCATAAGTGATGGAACCAGTTGCAATCCAGGGTAGCAGGATCCATCCCAAGTTCTTCCAGCTGCACCCCGAAGCGGCCTCCTTCAGGACTGCTCCACCCTTATGGCTCCTGATCCAGGACCCTTCACTCACGAAGCAGCAGTGCATCTGAAGACCTGATAGCTACAGGAAGGCAGCAGCACCCTGAATCCGGGGGCTAAGAGCTCCTCCCCCACCTCCAGGTGATCTCTCCTAAGGCTGAGGACCATCATCAATTCAAGACTAGATCTGTGGCGGCATTCCCCAAACCCCATCCTCAGATGCACCCATTTAGGCTTCCTTCTGTGTGAGAAGGGCATGGCTCAAAGGGGCTGTGTCCCGATGTGAGGTTCTGAGACCACCTGCATCAAAACCATAAGGACGCTGGCTGAAAATGCAGACTCCCAGGCCACAGCAGAATCTGGTTCAGTTTGAGAGGGGCTCGGGATCCGCCCTAGGACCACACTTTCACAAACACTGCTCAAAGGGCTCACTCTTCCTCGGAGAGGGACGAAAAGTAAGGGGTGGAAAACCAGAAAGCCCCGCGGGGGTCTCCAAAGGCCCAAGGACCCCGAATTGGTCAGAAGCCCAAGCCTGCAGCCCGGGGCGCCGGTATCATCAGCACGGCCCGGGCCTCCTGGGGGCGCCCCGCCTCCTCCCGGGCCCGCTGCCCGCTGCCCACCCGGCGCCCGGCTCCTCCGCACGGGCGGGGCGCGGCGGCGGCCTCCCGACTGACCTGCGACCGGCCGGGCCCTCGGCGCGGCAGCCTTACGCCGCCAGGCCCGACGCGGAAGTGAGCGCCTCCTCTGCTTCTGGGCAACTCGTGGAACAGAGATGCCCCAGCGGCGCCCCCGTGCGGCCGGTCGGGCTGCTACGGCAGGAGGAAAGGAAGACAAAAGGCCCCGCCCCCGATCTGCCCACCCCGCCCCCGGCCCCGCCCCGTCGGCACACTCCAGTTGGGACTTCTTCCTCGACTGGGGCAAGTTGCCCCATGCCAAGATTTATTAATTTATTGTGGATAAGTCTGTTTGGGTAGCGTTTGCGATTTACATGTCTTTTTCACGCAAAGGATTCCTGTTTATCTCTGACAACCCTGTAAAAGATGACTTTATTCCTGTTTACAGCAAGAAAATTGAGACAGGAGCAAACATTAACTGAACACTTTTATACAACTGACACTGTGCTAAGAAGTCCTTTGCTGAAATGCTTAATTTCTCCTTAATAGTCAACCCAAAAGAATTTTTTCGGTTTCTGGTTTCACCCTATCTTGTACAAGGGACTGTGCTGGACACTTCAAGACTAATAAAATACAGTCCTGTTTTCAAAGCACTTCTCCGGAGTCCAGAATAATAAGTTCCTAATTCATTTGTCTGGGTTTTTGAAGGGAAGAAGCCAAAGAGAGGTAAACCTGCCTACCCCTACATCATCAGCTATTAACAGTCTTGGGGACACTGGAAAGGGTTTGCTCAATTTGCAATTACTGAGCACTAGCTATGAACCAGACACCTGGAGTGAAGAACTGAACAAGATCATGTGGCAAACTCATGCAGCTTAAATCTAGTACAATGATCAGAACAGTTTTTCTGTAAATATTTTAGGCTTCGTGGATCATACAGGATTGATGAACTCTGTTGATATAGTGTGAAAGTAGACAGAGACAATATGGAAATGAGTGAGTGCTGTTGTTTTAGTCAGCTTTTTTGTCACTATGACCAAAAGACCTGACAACAGTGTAGAGAAGGAAAAATTTATTCAGGGCTCACAGTTTCAGAGGTCTCCATCCACAGAGGGCCACCTCCATTGTTCTGGACCTGAGGTGAGGTATGGAGGGTGAGTAGGAGGAAAACAGCTCCCAAAGGCCACCAGGAAGCAGTGAGAGCTTCACTATCAGGGAGGAAATATGTGCCCCAAAGGCACACTCCCAGAGACCCACCCTATTCAGTCACACCCTACCTGCCCAGTTACTAGTTACCACCTACTTAATCCATTCAAGTGAATTAATGCATTTACTAAGTGAAGATTCTCATAACTTAATCATTTCACCTCTAAACTCTTGCATTTTCTAAACGTGAACTTTGAAAGGACACCACAGAGCCAGACCATAACAGTCATGTTCCAGCTTTATTAAGGACACTGAAATTCAAATTTCACATATTTTTAAGTGTCATGAAATAGTCTTTTAAAATGTGCTATTATTTTTTTTCAAACTCTTAAATATATAGCATCCATTCTTAGATCTAGAGCCATTGAAAAACAAATGGCAGTTATGGGCCATAACTTGATATCCTCTGTTCAAGTGGGAGAAACAAACCTAAGCAAAATAGTTACAGAGAGTGATAACTACCTAGCAGAAAAGTCAGAACAAAGTTGGGTAGGCATCTGAGCTTGGTTGGAGAAGTCTGCACTGATAAAGATGTTTAAGTTGAGAGCTAAAAATAAGCCTACCTTCTGAAGGGTTGGAAGAAAATATTTCAGGATGGAGGAAGAACAGAGGACTCAGCTGTTTGTTTGTAGAAAAAGAAAGGATGCTAAGATGTCTGAAACTTGGTGGGCACCAGGACTAGCAAAAGGTAATAGGAGATGAAGTTGAAGAGAGAAGAAGAAGCCAGGTTTTAAGGCATCTTGTGGACATAGCAGGAGGGCAAATTTTACTTTTAAGCATAATGAGAAGCCACTGAAAGGTATTAAGCATGTCAGTGACACAATGATTTACTTTAAAAAAAGAAATCACTCTACCTACTGTGATGAGAATAGAGGAAAGGCATAAAAATAGCCAACTGTTCTCTATTAAGCTGATGCTGATCCATAAATGGAGAGTGGGCTAGGGAAGAATGGAGGAACTTTGGATTGGGCAGAGGGGACTGAGGAGGGAAGGGGTTTGGGGGTGAGAAAGATGGTGGAATGAGACAGACATTATTATCCTATGTACATGTATGATTGCTTGAATGGTATGACTCTGCGTAGTATATAACCAGATAAATGAAAAGTTGTGCTCCATTTGTGTATAATGAATCAAAATGTATTCTGCTGTCATGTATAACTAATTAGAACAAAAATAAATAAATAAGAATAGCCAACTGTTACAATAGGGGGGGTTGAATCATAGCTCCACCTGAGTGATGATGACAATAGAGAGAAGTGGATAAAGAAGGGATGCAAGAAATATATTTAGGGGACAGAAATGACATAAAAAATGTGAATGGGTCAACTACAATGTGTTGGTTTAGATCTTTCGGGCAGCAACCAACAAAGTCAGGTAAGACATGCAAGAGATTTGAGGGAAACAACTGTGAAGGAAAAATTGGAATGCATTTGAGAGTAATCGGAAGAGATATTAGAATAGATACAAGGTAATCCTTGTGGAAAAAAGGAAAGGAAGGATAGGAAAAATTGTACACATGATGCCATTCTAAGAAAGTTTCAGCAAAGTTAATGGGGAGTCTTCAAACCAAGGTCTCCCATCAGAAGAGTCCCAGGTCTCTCTGCCTTTATACCAGCTGTTCTCAGTAGTGACTGCTGGGAAGTGCAGCTTGAAACATAGTGATGGATGTCAGAGTACAGCAGCTTGGCAGTCAGTCAACAATCCTGCAACTGGAGATCTGAGAGGTGCACATTCATGGCTGCCACATATGGAAAATAAGGGAAAGAGGGAAATGCAGGATTCCTGCTGAATTGTTAGCTTGAACAACTGAATGATGGTAAATTTATTGAGATGGTGCATTATGGGAGAGGAATGGGCTTGAGGGAAAGGTTGTATTTTGGACTAGTAAAATTTAGAAGTTTAACAAGACATCTAACTAAAGAGATAAATAGCAATCGAGTAAATCTGGAGATCAAAAGTAAAGTTCTGTGATAAAGGTGTAAATGTAGAAGGCATAAGCACTTAAAGCCATGGAACTGGATGAAGTCATCTGCAGAAAGGACAGATAAATAAGACTGACTTCAACAATTAGAGGTCAAGCTTAGAAGGAAGAATCTGAGGAAGAGGAGAATATGAAATTATAGGATCCAAGAGAGCAAAGTTTCACTTGCTATCAAATGCCAATGAGAGATCAAAAGTCCATTAGATTTAATAATGTCAGAGTTCTTGGTGACCTTGACAAGAGCAATTTTAATGCTGTGTCAGCTTTCTGTCAAAGTGACACAAACCACTTACAAGAATGAAAGGATTATTTTGTCTGATGATTATAGGTTTCAGTTCATGGTTGCTTGGCCTCATCACTTTGGACCTATAGCAAGGCAGAATATCATGGTGGAGAGTGTATGGTGGAGCAAAGCTGCTCACCTCATGGCACCCAGGAAGCAGAGAGAAGAAGGGACCAGGGTCCCAACATCCCCTTCAAAGGCATACACTTGACCTAATTTTCTCCCATAGGCTTTACCTCCTAAAGGTTCCACCACAGGGCCTTTGGCACATGGTTTTTATGGACATTTAAGACCAAACCAAAATAAATGCAATGGTGAAGCTGCAAATCCAGATAAAAGAGGTTGGAGAGTGAGCAGGAGATGGGAGACTAGATATAACTCTTTAGAAAAGATGAGTGATAAAGAGAAGTGGGGTGTGATTGAAGAGAAATAAGGGTCAAGTTAAGGAGTTTTTGAATGATAGTCCACAGAAAAGTTTGTGTGGATGGAAATTATTTAGTAGATAGATAGAGATGGGTGATGCAGGAGAGAGAAGGGACATTTGAAAGAATGAAAAGCTTAACAAAGCGAAAGGATACTAGAGTTACAGTTCAAGTGGAGAAATTTCAGTTTAACAAGAGTAGGGATAAGAAGTAAAACAGATTTAAGTTCAGCTCGGTAGAATTCATAGGAGGAAAGGGAAGATGAGAAAGTCTGATCAAGTGGCTTCTGCTTTCTTGATTCAGTCTAAAGGCAGGTCAGGGCTGAGGGGAGGAAGAGGAAGATAGAGCTTAAATTACATAACTTGGGAAATTGAAAACTGAACTCTATAAAAACATGCTAGATTCATGTAGGTCCTGACAAAGTAGAAATAGCACAATAAGATGAAAGAGAATAGAGAAAGAGGAAAATAAAAGTAAAAGAGGAAAATAAAAGTAAATAAAATATAAATATATTATATTTACAATACAAAAGTATATTATAAATCTGGGCTGGGGATATAGCGCAGTTGGTAGAGTGCTTACCTCACATGCACAAGTTCCTGGGTTCAATCTCCAGCACACACTACACACACACACACACACACACAAATATATATCATAAATCTGATCTTTTATCCACTCATGGTATTGGCACATGAATAGATGAATAGACCAGTGCAATAAGAGAGAAAGTTCCAACAATTGGTCCTAATTTGTATGGGAATTTAGTATGTGATAAAAGTAGTTTCTAATATCACTAGAGAAAAAATGAATATTTTAATAAGTATTTGTAGGACAACCAGGTCCTACTAATTTGGAGAAAGACCAAATTAGATTCACCACCTCATACCATAATCAAGAATAAAATCCAAATGGACCAGGAATGTGAATGCCAACTATTAAACCATATAAGTTAGTATAATGAAACATGTATTTGGTATAGAAAAAAAAATTCTACCTACTATGATTCAAAATTCAAATGAAGTAAAAAATAGAATCAATGAATTTGACAATGTCTAAATTTTTTGACTAACAATCATAAATAATGACAAAAGACAAATTGCAATCTGGGAGAAAACATTTAAAACAAATATTCCAGACAAAAACCTGAGAAGGAAGAGTGGGTAATGTAAAAACCACTGGATAAAAATGCACTAAAAATGTGGACAATTCACACACACACCCCATA